TCACTTGCTGTGTGAGCTGGGCTAAGATCACCTTCTTTCCAGCTTCCGTATCGTATCCCCAGATAAAACGTGCTGATGTGACAATAAGAGCTGGCCTCCATGGTGAGCAGTGGCAGCTGCATGACTTAATACACCTAAAGAAGCTCTCAGCCTCTGTCACCCACAGGCAAATCTGCACTGCTGACCAGTTTTGTAAATAAAGCCTTATTGATATTTCTTTGTGTGGCAGTGGGGATGAAACCAAGGGTGCTCCACCACGGAGCTGCATCTCTGACCTTTTCTGGACTGTGGTTGTGGCTCAGTGACAGAGCGCTTCCCTCTCACTTGTGAGGCACTGGGTTCGATCCTTAGCACCACATGAAAATAAAAACAGAATAAAGTTACTGTGTCCATATATAACTAAAAAGTATTTAATTTTTTTTTCTTTTTTCTTTTGGTACTGGGGATTGAATTCAGGGGCACTCAACCACTGAGCCACACCCCCAGCTCTATTTTGTATTTTATTTAGAGACAGGGTCTCCCTTGATGTTGCTGAGGCAGGCTTCGAACACACAATCCTCCTGCCTCACCCTCACAAGCCGCTGGGATTGCAGGCATGCGCCATGGCACCTGGCTTCTTTTTTAAATTTTGAGACACAGTCTTACTAAGTTTCTGATGAACTTTCCATCCTCTGATCCTCTTGCCTCAGCCTCCTCTGTCACTGGGATCCAGGTGTGGACCCTGCCCCCTCCCACTGCTGTAAATAAAGCTTTATTAGTACAGGGCTTGCCTAGCGTTCACGAAGGCCTGGTTTCAATACCCAGTACCACAGAACAAACACAAAAGTAGAGTGTGATTGGAATGCAGTTGTGCTCATTCAGTTATGTGTAATTGGCTATGGCTGCTTTCCTAGGGCTAGTTGAGTAACTAAGATCCAGACTCTATGTTTTTTTTTTTTTTTTAATAGTTTTTCAGTTGTCAGTGGACATTTATTTATTTATTTATTTATGTATGTGCTGAGAATCAAACCCAGTTCTTCACGCATGCAAGGCAAGGGCTCTACCACTGAGCTACAACCCTAGCCCCCCCCCAACTATATGGTTCTTTTTTTTTTTTTTTTAAAGAGAAAGTGAGAGTGAGAGAGAGAAAAAATTTTTATTATTTGTTTTCTAGTTCTCGGCAGACACAACATCTTTGTTGGTATGTGGTGCTGAGGATCGAACCCGGGCCGCACGCATGCCAGGCGAGCGCGCTACCGCTTGAGCCACATCCCCAGCCCCCAACTATATGGTTCTTTAAACTTAAAATATGTAGTGCCTCAGGATTTATAGACTCCTTGATCTAAAAAGATCTAAAATATTTACTACAGTCCCTTACTCCTCAGGGACTATTCATATGTTAACTCAGGGACAGAGATCAGCTCTTATTTATAATAGTTTTTTTTCCCCCTTAGATCTTGAATATTCTTGTAAGTTTTGTTTTTGTTTTTTTTTTTTTTTTTTGGTGCTGGGTATTGAACCCAGGGCCTTGTGTGTGCAAGGCAAGCACTCTACCAACTGAGCTATATTCCCCAGCCCCAGAATATTCTTGCACATACTAGGTGCTTTATAAAAGATGAAATCTGCGTAATGTGTGATAATAAAACAGTCACAACCCAGCATTCTGAGGAAACTGTTAAATAATGAAACTTCATGTACATTTCCAATATAAAATGACCCCCATTTACATTTTCATCATTCTGAAGTCTTGTTTGTACAGCCAGTAGTTCAATAATAGAGCAGTGTCATTCAACTGCCTTGTCTTGGGGTTGGCTGGTTGGGGCCAGAGGGGACCAGCTTTGCTATCTTTGGTTCCTTTGAAGCGGTCATGATCATAAGATGAGACGTAAATACATTCTGTAAACTTCAAGCCCTGCAACGTTTTGCAACCGCTTAAACCCCCGCTACAGTAAGCTTTCAGAGCAGTTACAAAATAAAATCGTCTTGAACACCGTGGGGTGGAGGCCGAGGAGGAAAGAGGGCAGGGGAAGGAGAGAAGGAAGCTCCCGGGTTCACCAAGCCACTGAAAAGCAGCCACGTGTGGGAGGCAGGCCTGTCCCATGCAGGTTCCCAGCACCGGCACTTCTTAGTACTGTACACTCGATGGACATTTTATTTTAAATCGAGGAATGCTAATTTCTAAACAGAACATGACCAGAAGTGATGCTCAAGAATTCCCAAGAATGGGAATGGCCAGCTTTTCAAAAATACATTTGGCAGGGCAGGCTGGTCCGCAACCCTGCAGACCCGTGGGCTCATCTCTGCTATGGATACAGGACGAAAGGAAGCAACAGAGACTCCTGTCTAAACAAAGTACTTAGAAGTTAAATACAGGGGCAGGGGTGCAGCTTGCATGAGGCCCTGGGTTCTAGCCCCAGTGAAAATAACGGGGAACCCCCCAGTAGCTTGGAGTTCACCTTTCTTCACTAGGTGTAAGGGTGAATGGCGCTCCCTGACAGGGCCTTAGTGGGTCTAGTTTCCTTCTTGTTTATGCAAAGTCAGTAGCTCCCCCTGCCACCACCACCAAAAGATGGAAATCTACTCATAGTTGTTGTCCAGCAGGTAGCACAACACCTGGCCAGGAGGCAGGAAGTGCGACCTCGGGCTCTGCTGAGAGGAAGCAGTTGGTCCTTTCTGACCTGGTCACCCTGTGGACCATTATGCCTGACCATGTGGGCAAATTTTGAATAGTCCATAATACGAAAATTCTAGGGTCTTTAAGCACCTAGGCAAACCTTGTTTAATATTGAGCATTAAAGGAAAAATTTGAATGATTTAAAAAAATGAAAGAATTTCTAGGGGGGGCTGAGGTTGTGGCTCAGAGGTAGAGCACTTGCCTACCATGCGTGAGGCACCGGGTTCAATCCTCAGCACCACATAAAAATAAAATAAAGATATTGTGCCCACCTATAACTAAAGAATAAATATTTAAAAAAATTGGTGGGGCACAGTGGTGCACACCTGTAATCCCAGCAATTTGGGAGACTGAGGCTGGAAGATCCACAAGTTTGAGGTTGGCCTGGGGAATTTAGGAATGCTGCATGTCTCTCTGTCCAAAAAGAAAAAAATATATATATACACACATACACACATACATATATGAACATATATAAACATATATGTATATGTTTGTGGATATATATACATATATGTGTGTGTATATATAGAGAGACTGGAGATGTAGCTCAACAGAAGAGTGCCCTTGGGTTCAATCCCCAGTACTGAAAAAATTAACAAAATAAAAATAAAATAGAAAAGAATTTGTTAAAGCAACAATGGAAAAGGGTCTAAGCACGCCAAGTATGGTGGTTCATGCCTATAATCTCAGTGGCTTGGGAGAATGAGGCCAGAGAATCACAAGTTCAAGGCCAACCTCAGCAACTTAGTGAGACCCTGTCCCAAAATAAAAAATTAAAAGTGCTGGGGATGTGGCTCAGTGTTGTCACCCCTGGGTTCAGACCCGAGTACTGAACAAACAAAGAGTCTAAGCAGCAATGAATATTATGAGACACAACCACAAGCACCCTGGAGAAGGCAGGTGGAAAACTGAAGCAGAAAGAATTGAGACTTGGACAGAGGTTGTCTTAGTTAAGATGGCAGGGCTGACCAGTGGTGCTCCAGAAGAGCTCTCCATGCCCTGGACACACCACACCAGGTACGATCCGCTCATGCTGAATACTCATCCTGTCTCCTGTGAGTTGATAGTGGTCCTTTCAGCTGACTTTTTTATTTTTTTTTATTTTTTAGTTGTAGTTGGACACAATATCTTTATTTTATTTATTTATTTTTACGTGGTGCTGAGAATCGAACCCAGAGCCTCATACATGCTAGACGAGTGTTCTAATGCTTACGGAGCCTGAATCTAAATCTCTGTCCAATTACCACATAGTTCAGTTGTTGGCTAGCCCACAGCTGGGGAGGATGGACAGGAAACACGAGTGGCATCTATAGTATGCAAGATTTAAATCCGCCCTGCTTTCCTGCACCACAAATCCTGGCATTTCAACCCCATTCCTGACTTTCAGTGGTAGGGTTTTGTTTTTGGTACCAGGGAATAAACCCAGGGGTGCTTCACCACTGAGCCACATTGCCAGCCCTTTAATTTTTTATGTTTTATTTAGAGACAGGGTTTCACTAAGTTTTTTAGGACCTCACGAAGTTGCTTAGGCTGACCTTGAACTCATGATCCTCCTGCCTCAGACTCCTGAGCCGAGCCACTGGGATTGCAGACATGTGCCACCACTATGTCCGTCTTTTTGTTTGTTTTGTTATTTAGTTTCTGCTCATTCTAGTGCATTTTTTCCACTCTGCGTCTCTAGGGCAGGCAGGAGATGGGGGGGTGGCAGAACCACAAACATACAACTGCCAACAGCCAGGCACCTCCCCACCAGCTCAGTTAACCCGAGCAGAGCCCTTCAGCATCATCTTTGAACACACGGGAGAATTCATGAGATTAGAGTCATGCTGTCAGTGTGGCTTATCTGAGCCACATCCATCTTATGAATGGGCAGGATTTTTTTTTAAAAGACCATTTAATCAATCCAATGTTCAACCTCAGGAAAATATTTAGGTCACCACCACAGAAAGAATATAGGTGGAAAGCATCTTCCAAAAAGTTGGGTCTTGTCTTGGCCAATTAATGTTTATGACATTTAATTTCTGAAAGTTATTATTTTTCCCAGGCCTTTTATGAGGAAAGGGCTCACAGAGGTACGCATGGGACTATACCAAGTTTTTTTCTTGCTTCCTAGAGTTGACTTTTCAGTCACTTTGTGGTTACACGGGTTAGTTTCCCCAACATTAGTAAGGGAGACGGTTTATATCCAAATCCCCTGGGAATATTACCACTATCCCATATGTTGCTTGGTTCCCTAAGGCACACACTCCAGCATTTAGAAAATTTAGTAAATATTCTTACTGTACCTTTCTGGTTAAGTTCTTTTGAAGAAAGTAGGAAAAAAACAAAACAAAACAAAACATACCTCCCATGTTGACTTAACAGCACACAGACTTCTCTTTCCCCATTTAAAAAAAAATAAAAGTGCATTTTTTGGCAGTTGAAAACAGGTGCTAATTCAGTTCATTCACTAAATGAAAAAGATCAATGTGCATTTGAAACTCCTCTTTGGAGCAGAAAATGGTGAGGGCTGAGCAAAACAGAAAACAGAGTCCTTCTCTAAATATAGCCTTGTCATATGACCCCACTGGTCTTTGTACTGAGAACATTCAGGTGTTAGACAGTTGCTTCATGGATGCAGCATATGATTACTCCAGGGAACGGCGAAGATGACCCACAGCACAGACAGAAATGCTGAGCTTGGGTCTCTGCTTTTTGATCTGAGGAAACAAACTAGAATGTTGTTGAGACGTCCCCACACGACAGCTTGTCATTTGGTAAACTTTTCCACTGTACATAGGAAGCAGTTCTTCCATGCTTTGGTTTCTTTTCTTTCTTTCTTTTTCTTTCTTTCTTTTCTTACTTTATTTTTTTTCAGTGCTGGGGATGGAACCCAGGGCAGAGGCTCATCCACTGAGCTGTATTCCCAACCAGGTTTTACTTTAAAACCCCCTTTGACAGCAGTTCATGTTGAAACACTTCTTACACAGGAGACCTTTTTTTTTTTTTTTTTTTTCTGTTTACTTCTTTAACTGTGAGGCCCCACACTGAGTCTGATTCCGTTTTGTCCGTTATCATGATCATTCATGACAACATCACATCACTCTCAACGTAGATCCCCTGCAGTTAATCTCTGGGAATGTGGAGTTTTGTTTTTTAAAGGGCTCTTTATAGGGTAATTTGGACAGGTATCTTTAAAGCTTTTAGTGCCTTTTTTTTTTTTTTCTTTTTGATCTTTATATTTAAAGAACACTTCAAGGTTTTTGCATTTCTGGGACAAATTAAAGATTAGGCTGGGAGTGAGAAGTTCAAGAGCTATCGCTGCATTAAGATGTGTTTATCTGCAAATTAAAAAATCTATTTTAATTGTCTACTTTGCAGGAGACAGATCCTTCTAGCCAAGTAAAGTTCTGCAAAGCTATGGCGGGAACTGAGACTCATTTGTGGGGGTGGGGTGGGGAGCTGGTACATATTAAAAGGCCTGCCCCAGCTGGGGGAAGCAGCCTGCTCACAGGGCTGTCAGCCTTTACTGGGGGGACTCTGTTACTTACGTTTGCAATTTGGGCCCATTGGAGGGAAGGAGGAGGAGGAAGTAACTAGGATTGTGGCATATTTGAAGGAAGCAGAGGCCTCAGCTGGTTGCTAAAACATCCATTTGAAAAATAAATACATAGTGCACTCGGGCACACAGCAAATTGTGGACCAAAACCAACAATTTGGTTTTAGGATTCTGGTGTTCCAACTGGGTAGGGTACCAGCCAGCTCACATCACCTGCCCCTGGAATGCACTTGATGAGATGGGCACCTACTGATTAGTTTTGGGTATGCCTTATGAAATCCATTTTCTTTCTTTTTTTTTTTTTAAGAGAGAGAGAGAGAGAGAGAGAGAGAGAGAGAGAGAGAGAATTTTTAATATTTATTTTTTAGTTCTCGGCAGACAACATCTTTGTTGGTATGTGGTGCTGAGGATTGAACCTGAGCGGCACGCATGCCAGGCGAGCGCGCTACCACTTGAGCCACATCCCCAGCCCTGAAATCCATTTTTTAATAAACCTTTTTACTACATTATGAAATTTTCTTAAAATTAGAACACATTTTGTATTATAGTTTTTTTTTTTTTTTTGTACCAGGGATTGAACCCAATGGGGCTAAACCACAGAGCCACATCCCCAGCCCATATATATATATATATATATATACACACACACACACACACACACACACACACACACATATATAATATTTATTTTTTATTTTTACACAATACATTTATTTTGTTTATTTATTTTTATGTGGTGCTGAGGATCGAACCCAGGACTTGGAACATGCTAGGTGAGTGCTCTACCACTGAGCCACAACCCCAGCACCCCTTTTATATTTTTTATTCTGAGACAGGGTCTGCCTGAGTTGCTTAGGGCCTTGCTAAATTGCAGAGGCTGGCTTTGAACTCAGGATCCTCCTGGCTCAGCCTCCTGAGCTGCTGGGATTACAGGCCTGCACCCCGACACTATTGGGCTGAAGATGAGGCCCAGAGGTAGAACACTTGCCTCACTTGCCTGGGGCCCGTACAGCAGACACACACACACACACACACACACACACACACACACCAGCCCTCCCAAAACTGAGTTGAAAGTTGAGTCGGTCTCTATGACCTTTGCTTACTTTTTTGGAATGTCCCTCACAAAACAATAAATCATAACTTTATCAACTTCCCCAGAGGCCTTCAAAAACAAAAGACCAAAGTTCAGCTAAGTGCAATCGCTCTGTAAATTCACCCTGCGAGGTAGCATTCCCCAGATGGATTTTACAAGTGTAGCATCGAAAAAGAACTGTGAACACCGGCTGTCCTTTCCAAACGCTGAGTGAGGATCTTTGGCCAAAGGGAACCTGGGGCTGACTCGCATCATGATTCACAGGGGCTGCTGGGGCTTCAGGTTTTAACTTCCTTAATTGCAGAACTGAAGGTAGCTGAGTGCGGAGCAGGCCAGAGCCCAGGGTTTCAAAGATAAGGAAGCAGTGAACGCACTGCCCAGCCTGGTCTCCAGAGGACTCCTGCTTCTAGCCTGGGAACCTCCTTTGTTTTTCAGCCCTGAAAGGCAAATAGCATTTTTCTAGTGCAAGATAGAGATCTGTCTGTCTATCTGTCTGTCTGTCTCTCCCTCTCTCTTTTAGTAACTCAAAGTACTTAATAGTTCATTAACACTTATGAAGAGAGTTTTGTGAAATGTCCCCATGAGAAGGGAAAGTTACTCTTGGAGCTTTCCACTTCTTTTTGAAAACTCCCTGAATCTCAGTCTTGGCTTCCCTTTTGATGAATCATTTGGGCTCCAAAGATCATTCAGGAAGCACACTCCGCTGGCTGGGGACTATCTTTAGGAGACAAATTCATTCGCTAAAATTTACTGGGTTTTGTTACTCAAGCTTGATCATTCTTCAGCATTCATCCTTTTAAACAGAATCTAGAGATATTTAAATCTTTGCAATAAAATGAGGAGCTGGGGTTTTTTAAAAAACCACTGTTTTCCCCATATCTCTCTAATCATTTTCATTTTCCCTCAAGAATGGGGAATTTTAAATGTCCAGAAATATCTAGCTTTTTTGTTTTGTTTTGTTTTCCCCTCTTATAGTCATTAGATTAAAAAAAAAATCCCTCATGTGTAAGGAATTAAACACCTTACACACATGTATAAATTTTTTGGTTACACAGAAATCATTTTCACTTGAGTCAGACATGCATGCATGGAAATGTCACAGTCAAACCATTAATTTGCATAATTCATATGAGTTAAATAATAATAAACTGGAATCCCTTAAACTTTGTTCCTCTAGAACTTTCCATCTGGACTGGAGATAGTCTCCCTGGTGAATGCTCACCTAACAGCCTCCTTGCCCTAGGTTCAATCCCCAGCACCAGCAGAACAAACAAAACCACTAGACCTGTAGACCCTTCCATTGTTTGATACTTTTACATATATGTGTGTGTTTATACCTGCTCTTTTACAGATATAAATACTTAGTCTAGGCACAGGGAGGTTATTGAGAAAGTAGATGTAGAATCAAGATACTAAAACCACAGCACGTTAGGATTGGAAACCATGCAATTTTGTTTATTCCAGCTCTTTAATTATGGAAAGAGATCCTTGGGCTCAGAGAAGCTGTTTGGCTTGCCTTAGGATCATTGGATTCTGGTCCTGGATTTGCCGTATAATTTTTCATGTGAACTGAAGGGCTTCTGTTCCTTTATCAGTAAGGCAGGACCAATTTTAAGAAACAATTTTAAGTTTTAAGTTTTAAGTTGGTTAAACCTGTGTGATTTTGCAAGCACATTTTTTTAAATAATTTTTTTTTCTAGTTGATGGACCATTATTTTACACACACACACACACACACACACACACACACACATATATATATATATATATATATATATATATATATATAGACATTGATGGACCTTTATTTTATTCATTTACTTATATGTGGTGCTGAGAATCGAACCCAGGACCTCACACATGCTAGGCAAGTGCTCTACCACTGAGCTACAGCCCCAGCCTACAAGCACAGGTTTTGAAGCATGCAAAAGAGGACATCCAGGAGTCCAAGTGACTAGCAGGCTTGAACTTTTTGCCAATGGATCAGTTTGTTTGGGCCCTGAACAGATATGAGGAGTCCTTAACCAAAAGGCAGAGTTCTGTACATTCTCACTAGCCCTGGACTCCGGAGAATCCTCTTAGCCTTGATTCCTGATTCCTTCAGAGCATGTGGCAGCAGATACTGGACTATCCTGAATTGTCAGAACCTGGCTTCCTGCTTCACCCAGCCGCCTTGTCTCCATTTTACATAGTTTTCAGTTTTGCCAGAAGGAGGCTGTTGTACTTTTTGGAACTTCCTGCACCACTTATCATCTCAGGCTGAACATAAATGATTTATCCAGGGAGGGTTATTAAAATTGACTGTAGTCTCAGAAGAAAGGATAGTTTGTCAAACCAACATCTTAAGACTAATTGGATATATTTTGCACGAATTGTGATTAATGCAAGGTAATTTCAGAGGAGGGCTTTTGCTAATTAATAAATCAATCACACTGACTCCTCTAGGTAGACAGAACTTGGAAAGTTCATTGCTGATTTGCTCAGAACCAGGATCCCATACATACGCGTGGGCTAGTGATTTAAGGCAGTTCTTAAGAAAGCAAACAGATGACGCAACACCTCAATTCAGAAACAAGTTGCTTAATGTGTATCCTCCAAAAACTAACAAGCCTGAGAGAGAAACTGTAAAACGTAGACAGTACTCAAGAATATTCCTGCTTCTTGGTTGATTCCACCTTCACACATAGCTCCTGTTGTTATGAAGTTTCTGGAAAGGTCACATAGAAACATGATACTGCCACAGAGGGGTTACTGAAGTCGCTGAAAACACCACACACTTTTTTTTTTTTTTTTAATTAAATATGTTTAGTTGGGCTGGGGATGTGGCTCAAGCGGTAGCGCGCTCGCCTGGCATGCCTGCGGCCCGGGTTCGATCCCCCAGCACCACATACCAACAAAAATGTTGTGTCCGCCGAGAACTAAGAAATAAAAAATGTTGGAAATTCTCTCTCTCTCCCTCCTCTCACTCTCTCTTAAAAAAAAAAAAAAGAAAAAAAATATGTTTAGTTGTAGATAAACTCAGTAGCTTTGTTTTATTTATTTATTGATTTTTATGTGGCGCTGAGGATTGAACCCAGTGCCTTACACATGCCAAGCAAGTGCTCTACCACTGAGCCCCAGCCCCAACCCCGGCCCCCCACACTTTAAAAAACGAGATAAAAA